CATCATTCTTTAAAAAAATTTTTTTTCTGTCAATTAAGAAGTCATTGGGCTTAATTTTCCTCTTCATTGCAAGAATTACACTGACGTTAGTGGATACAGTATTAGCAATGTCACCATCACTATTACTTTACCTTTTCAAGGAAAAACTAGGTCTCTTTACCAAAGTTCCTTTCTTTTCTCTTTTTGCTCATATTGATTAGTGCCTTTTTTTTCTACAGTTCTGAGTTTCTCATCTATCTCACTGAGGGAGGATGTCTAAAAATTTCCTGTACCCATGCTGCCCACGTTCCCTTGAATGTGTGCTTGTTTATTTGACAACTGCTGGACAGTTATTAGATTACAGTTTGGAAACTAACTCAACTGTTTCTATCAAATACATTTCAGTAATAATGTCTGTAAGGCATGGAATACTTCATGCAGATCTCTATATGCCGCAGCCACAAAAATACTGTTTAATACACTGCTTCAATTTCACTGGGACCATGTTCTTTACTTAGAGCTTAACAACATTATGAATTTATTCTTACATTCTTCAGGATGACATTAGAGAAATGAAGGAATTTTCACAGAGATATCAATACTATCCAAAAGAGATTATATGCAACTTGAATATGAAAACCTTAATTTTGAGAGATACTATCTGCTCTTAATAATCAACTCTTTCCTCAGCTTACCAGATCATCCTGGAAAAATAGTTTAAAGAATAAATATGAAAACGCATAGTAAGTAATATTATTGGCTTCAATTATTCAGCTTTTTCCCTGTTAAACCAATTTATAAGGGAAATTTAAAATACATATATTTTTAAATGGTTATTTAGAAATGTTGCATTTCATCCACCAAGACATCTACACAGAAGTGGGCCTCATCTACATGAGTTAACTACTACTGTTACTAAGCTATTTTCAAATAAGTTAGCTGATAACTAGTAACTAGTAACACCTTAATTATTGCTAATGACAGCATCTTAGATGAATGAAATTATTTGATTTGATCAATTTTGATCCCAAAAATTTACTCAAATATATTCTTTTCAGGATTAAAACAAAGGCAACATCAGTGGTTGTTATTATAAACACATAATGAGTAAATACCATGAAATTGAGATTATCTGCTCTGAAATTTTCGAACATTATCCTTCGAATTTAAGATCTACCTGTTTTTGAAAATACTGTTGTCATGCTTTTAGAATTATTGACTCCAACCACAAGATGCTGGTAGGACATAGTAATATAAAAATTTTACAGTTTAACAAATACAAAATTTACAAAATAAACAATTAAAAAAAGAAAAGTGACCCTTGGCTAATCTACTGCTGACATCCTCTAATTTATGCCATCTTTTATATGGATGGAGACAGACTTTTCTCTGTTGTAGAAAACATATTTCTGCCTAGAATTTTCTGAGTGGTTCTCAGAGACTGACAGGCTTTACGTCAGTTGTGAGGATTTTTTCTTCTTTTCATAGCAATTTTATTTTTTGATAGATCAGACACACTATGGACATAGGAAAAGACAAACATCAATACCAGCCTTAATCTACAGGTTTAAGTCCCAGTTCTTTCCACTCAAAGCACAGACCTGGCTGAGCTGTAAGAGTGCTATTAGCCTGATAGTTACAAAGTCAATAGAAACTAAGTTTTAAAAGGATACCAAATCCTCATGATAAGGGACATGAAAGGTTGCATGCTTAGTGATCCATACCATTTCCTGCAAATCAGATCACGGAGATTGGTTTCTTCTGGTGATTAATTTATTTGCTTTAATGCAAAGCAGCAAGAGAGGTTCAGAAAATCGTAGATAAACAAAGCCATTTTCTGAAGTACATAGAATTAAATGCTGGAAAATTTTACAAAATTACAGATCTGATTTAAACTGACCCAAGCCAGACAATCCAGATGCATATGTATAACTTCTTTAAACCATGCTGTTTGCAGGCACTGCAGGAAATTTCAGTCTTAAATCTTGTTAAAAACAAAACAAAACAAAAAGCTCGGAACAAACAACAACCTCCTTCCTCAATACACACACTCAAGCACAACAGGCAACAAACTCAAGACAATTTATGAGCAATAGAATTAAAACTTACTAAATATTTACAGGTCCAATCTAAATTGATCAAAGGCAAAAACCAAGTGTAAACCTTGAACTTCTTTATATCGTGCTTTATTTTCTATAAATCTATCCACAGTCTATTCTAGAATCTATCACTATATAGAATCATACAATTGTTTGAGTTGGAAGGGTCCTCTGAAGGCCATCTTATCCAACTCCCCTGCAGTGAACAGGAGCATCTACAGCTTGATCAGGTGCTCAGAGCCCCATCCAGCCTGACCTTGAGTGTCTGCAGGGTTGGGGCATCCATCACCTCTCTGAACAACTGGTGCCAGTGCCTCACTATTCTTATTGCAAAAACCTTCTTTCTTATGTCCAATCTAAATCTTGCCTCTTTATTTTGAAAGCATTTCTTCTTCTCCTACCACTACAGACTCTGAAAAAGAGATTGTCACCTTCTTTATGTTTTATATGTATATATAAAATGTTCAAGCAACTATGAATAAAGATGTTCATAATAATTGGATCTTACTCCAACTCAGTAAGTATAAAGAAGGAAAAAAATTCTAAAAACAACCAATTGGACACTAGCTTGGCCATAAGAACCATGATGATGCCCATGAGCCTCTTCCTGCTAAAATCCCTTGGAGCTCCATCACAGCATGGAATGCTGCTCTGTGGGGTGCTGCTCTAAGTGCCTTCAAGAGACTGACAATGAGATCTGCTTTGGCATGACAATGGGTACTGTGAACGTGCAACCAGATCTTATATTTTACCACCTTTCACAGCCATTTAGAAAAGAGGCAATATTCTATACTTAACAGCACATTTTTCTTCCTATTCCATTGCTGAAGTAAATTGCTAGCAAGCCTTTTAAAAATAGAAGAGATCAAATAGACATAAAATGTCACAGTGAGCTTTCTAAAGCAAAAATAATCTACCATATTGTAGCAGCACATGGATGCTTTCAGTGTGAAATTGAAGCAGTCCATTTCTCACAAGCAGGGAGTTAAAGTACTCACAAAATGCCTTTGCCACCCTCTGCCAGGGCTTGCTTTTGCTCTCACTGCGTCCCTTACACTGATTGCTGATATGACGAACCAGAAAATTTAAAGAGAAATAATCAGTTAAAAGATTGGCAGGTAAATGGGATTCAGTCAAATGTGATATGTACTGGGGATGACTTTCAGAATAGATTCTCAGGCTCCTGTTCAGATCTCAGGTTTTGGCCACCTTTCATGGCCATCCAGTATGACCCAAAATGTACCCTGACTGCAAAGCTTGGCTCATGCGTAATAAACACATGTGCTGCAATCCATCCTGGATACTACAGACCACCAAAGCAGAAAACCAGGTCCTGTCCATGTTATCTAAAGAACATAGGTCTATATCTTGCTACTTGGATAAACTCAAGTTCTTTGGGTTTTACAAGCAGTGACAAGCATGTTCCTCATTTGGAAGCCACAGAAACAACTGATGTGCAAAAATCCTGAGAAAGAATAAAATAGCTAATCCTTTTTTTCTTAGAGAGGATTTTCGAATGAGTTTTGGGTTAGGTACATCATGAATTCCAAACTAGTGCATACAATAATTGTGCATATGATTGCTGTAATTAACCCTACACACTAAATGTAGATAATAGTCTTGGATGTATTCAAAAGGAGGCAGATTCAGACTTGCTTTGCCCAAGCTGTGAGATAACCAAGCATCAGGCAGCCTCTGCCAGACCCTTTTGGGTCGTGCATCCGGGTGCCCACAGCCATGCCAGTAAGTCCTGGAGTCTGCTCAGACAGCTTGATAACTTCCAGTACAGGGCTGGCTTGCAACCAGCCACATCAGGACACAGCAAAGTGAGCTTGGCCTGTGTGCATCCACCTGCTTCTAAAAACCTGCTTTATAAATATTGTATTGGACTATTAACATGGGCAATTTTCCTTTCCACTTGAAGATCATCTCTGATGCTTATGATATGGTGCTTGATTTGCTTTTCATGATCTAGGTGCTTATTTATCACCCTGAGCAAGGAAAAGAGGCACTCCATTCCCTTCTCATTATTTGAATAAACTTCTTGCCAGTTTTGATTTCAGGTCTGCAGCTCCAGCCCAAAGTTACATGTGTAGCTTTCAAACACTGCAGAAGGATGTTTATTTGTGCTAGGATATATTTCTAATCAAAGGCAGAAATGAAACATGAACTATACCTGTCCATCACTGAAATTTCAGTAAGTGCAGTTTTACAAAATTCTTGATTTTGTGTCAAATGTCTACATTTTACTCCAATATCTATGCACATTTATATAATACACCACAGCAAATACCTATAAAACCAATTGGGTATTTATGCAGGTTTTTTTACATCTATTATGTAGCCTGTGTGCCTCATCTGACTCACGTAAGTGCCTGCAGAAAAAGCATATACCATCAGCAGCTCTGAGCTTGCTGCTCTTTCCAGTACATTCCTTCTGTGGGTGAAGCAACGGGATGAGGCTGGCACCCTGCTTGTTGCTTTGCACAAAGCAAACATCACCAGTCAAGTGAAATTGAACCCATGCTTCTATCTAATTACCCGAGATCTTGGGGGGCTCTTAGAAGTAACGTGAAGTCAAAGCCCTCTTCAGGAGTTGGACTGTCCCCTCCCTCTTTAGCTTGCCCCAGCACGGAAATCACACGTTGGTTGTCATATCTCCATGACCTCCTGTTTCTGTGAGTACCTAAACTTTTGCCCTTACTCTCATCTCTGTGAGCTTCCCCAGCTCTCCCCACTTTTGCCTTCACCCCCCACCAATTTTCTGCTGAACTAATGATAGCTCTTTTGCTGGGAGTTTTCAGGCTCCCTAATTTAATTTCCTTATCACATATGAAACTCTGTGGTCCTCAAGCATTTTTCATACACAGGCTCATTAATTTCCCCTTCACTAACACCAGAAGCAAAGAGCAACAGACTTACTTGAGTTTTCCCCATCAAGGGTATGGGTGGGTACCCAATTACTGACTGCCAGGAGACTTCTCCAGAGATAACATCATTGATTTCCTCTTCCACATTCAGTTGAAATTGGTTCACATATGCAAAAAATGGAAGACAGAGGGATAGACAGATTGAAAATTATGTTCAAAGTAAATGCCTAAAATTCCTACACCCATTTAACGTGATGTCTCATTTTCAAAAAGTACAACATTAAAAGTAATTAACATTTTTTAAAGTGATGTGCTGCATATACTGAGGTCTAAAGCCTGAGCAGTGGTATCCATTTGTTTAAAAATGAGTCATAAAATTTCCATCAGACTTTCTCCATCTCCTCCCAGCACTCCCTGCAAAAAACCCAGAGGACTCCAACACCTCATCAGCACTACATCTTCAGCTGGCCAGAATAGAGAAATAGTTTCAATGCAGCCTCCTCCACCACCATGCTGGAACAGAAAAAAGCCCACTCAGGCAAAAGATCAGTCCCTTCCTTCCTTCCCACTTTCATCAAACTGCACAAACACATAGTGCGTTCTTCTTACATCAACATTTCACCCCTTCCACCAGCAAAGAAATCTCCTTTTCATCCTGATTAGCCCACAGCAGCCCACACTTCTTGGGAGAAGGTACCCACCACATATATTGGAACATATTTCCTCCAGATTTAGACCAACTTAAAGATGCTGCACACAAGTGCATATGCAACGGTTTGAGTGAAAGAAATATTAAATTCTCTATTTATATTGTAAGTCATAGAATCATGGAATCATGAAGGTCAGAAAAGACCACTGAGATTATTTAGTCCATACATCAACCCCCTCCCATATCCCCCACCACGATCACTAATCATGTCCCTCAGTGCCACACCTCCACGTTTCCTGAACACCTCTGGTGACACCACCAGCTCTCTGAGCAGCTTATTCCAAAGTCATTTCAAAAAGCACTGAGGCTGGGTCATTTTGTCTTGGCCCCAACACAGCAATGCCAGGATGCTCATAGAGATGTAAGGAACCCTCTCAAAAGCATGCAGAGCTCGTCAGCAAGAAACCAGCCTGAAAGCCTGGCCCTGGAGAAGGAAGGGCTGCTGGAGCAGCAGCCTGTGCCTCGCCCGTTCCCAAGTTACAGGGTTTTACTTTACCCACAGAAGCCTGAAAAACCACAATGGTAATGAAAATGTTAATGCAATCTGAGCTACTTCAGTACTAGTAGGGGAAAACATTAAAATCTCATGAAAAAAGTAATGAAGCTTTCTTTTTTAATTATTTTTTTATGCACTAACCACGTAAGAAAGCAATTTATCAAAACCTTACTATCCATCTGATTAATATTTTGCACGTTGCAGGAATTCACAACTAACATGAACACTGGTGAGCTGTAAACTATTTCTTTTCTTGTAAAAATTGTGAAGTGTCCAACAGTGCTACTAATACTGCTGCAATAAAATCTCTAACAAAAAAAAAAAACAAAAACAACCTAACACACAAACAAAAAAAAACCAAAAACCTAGAAGCATTTTAGAAGTACAGAAAAAAAATCTCACTAATTCTCATGTTTATATTGCTTCCTTTCCTTTCTCTGAAAAAAAAGAGAGTCATGCAGCTATGTTGTTATGGGCTGCAATCTGGCAATGTTTAAATAGCATTCATCCTAGTTACAGCGTGAATGGCAGAGCCCTAAAGGAATAGAGAGGTATGGGGAAGGTTATCAGCTCAGCTAAGGGCATTTTGCCCCTTGAATCAGAACTAAGCCAATGTACCATTAAAACATTAAGCTTATGTTTTAGATAAGCTACAGCTCAGAGAAGACTGATAGGCAATATTGTTTTGCCAGAGCAATGGTGATGGAGCAGGGAACCAGAAAAGCTTTGTGGCCTCTTCCTGCCATGCAGGAGGCAAATAGTTCATGGTACACCATGCAGGAGTGTGCCGTGCCTCCCAGGGCTCCCAGTCATACTCCTGCTGTTAAATATTATTTGGGAAACAAGAAGCAAGTCTTCTGTTTTATATTGTTTGTCATCATAATGGCTTCTCCTGACCATGAGAACTACAAATGTTATCAAGGAATATATGAGGCCATGGTCCTGACAGACTGCTGATATTGACAAGGTGTCAGAGACCTCCCTAATGCTGTACTATCCCAGAGCTTATGCGAACATCTGCCCAATTAAACTTCGGCTGACATACAGATGTGAATTTTGCTGCACAATGACCTTTCATTTTGACTCTGTAAAGTAACTCCAGTATGAAGGCAAAGAGCAATTTTAAATGATGAACACCTGAAGCGTAACAGCATACAAGTGAAACTTTATCTGAGAGTCATAAAACATTTTAAGAACAGTAATGGGTGAAAATCAATCTCAGAAGGGGGACAGCACTTGTACATCACTTGAACCCTATTTAAGGACTCAAAATAGGATTTAAGGGGAACTTATGTGGTACATGATACTTGTACTGACACTGCGCAAATCTGAGTTTCACCCATTAAAGACTTAACCCTCAAAGCAAGCATTCCTTTGAGGACCATTATTTTTATTATACCCACAGCTTCTTAAATGAAAAAGAATGCCTTTTACACAGCCGTTTTATCTTATGAGGAGTCTGGTGGCTCAGTCATCTTCAGATATCTCCACTTCCCACCTTGATGCTTCTGCACACCATGCCATAAATACCATCCTGCCAGTTAACGCCTTAACAGGGTTAGCCAAAGCAACACCATAAAAACAACCACAAAACCTCTGATAAACCAGAGACGAATAGCATGTGCTACTGTCTAAAAACATTCTGTCATTTCAGAGCAAACTCTGGAAATCACAAGCTTGGAGAACAGGGGCCTATGTGACATTCACACCTCTGACTGCAGTCGCGTCCGAGTGTTTGGCGTTGGCTTCAAGGATTCTCCCCATCTGCACTGTGAAGTCACCAGATTAATTGTAAGCAGCTTCCCATGAGTTCATCAAGTATTGATGATACAGTCATGCAGCGGCACGTTTGTATTAAACTCTTCAACCCTGAGCAGTACAGAGTGCCTTCCCACTGCCACAGTAGGAGCAGATCCCATTGCCAATGTGTTTGCTATGAGTGGGGGGAGCTGAAGAAACACAGCCCTTTCCTGATTCCTCGGAAATGCAAAGCTACATTTTGCCAACTTTGTTCTGTGGGGTTTTGTTTAACCCTTGTTTGGTTCAGCTACACTGCAGTCCAGTGAAGCCCAAAATCACAAATATTATTTCTCATTTTGTACATCTGCAATGCATATGCTCAGTTGTTTTCTTAAACTTGCTTGAGTGCTAAGTGTTGCAGTTAAACACAAGGCTTCCTCCACACAGTTATAAGCTCCAATAGTTCAATACCAAGTCACAAGTTCTAATGACTATTAAACCCATCTCTTCTGCTAACGCTATAATTTTATTATGAACAACTATACAAGGGCAATGCTAGGACTGAATTATTTGGTACAGCTGCATGCACAGACAAGAGATGTGGATTCATCTCATAAATCTACCTCATAAAAGATGTTCAGCCTGATTCCCTTTCATTCTTAACAAGACACAGCTGAGATTAGCATACCTTGCTCACTTGCAATATCACATGCCCTGAGCAAGTAGTGACATTTGATGCAGTCAGTCTAGATCAGTAGCAAACATTACCTGAAGGTGTCAGAAGGTACTCAAGCTGCAGAGCTCTAGGAGCAGCCACAGCGTTGCTCCACCACCTCCCCATGCTCATCCTAGCTGCTCATCCAAAATTACTTCCTAAAGCAACAGGCCGCTTGCATGCACAGAGCAGCATGGATGGCTCTTTGCTGTGGTTATAGTAACATCACCTCTTTTAATAAACCATCTGTAAACGCCTTCTCTTATTAATTAGAAATATAAGCATATGTTGACAACTGGAACTTCTTTGTATGAGCCCTCAGTTTCTGCACTCTCCTTCTGTTTAACTGTAGCATCTCAACGGCGAATGGATATCAAGAGAGCAAGAAACCACACAAGCAGATTTTCTCAGCTCTAAGGCTGTTGACTGCCAGATTCCTCTTCTGAACATTACAGAGACGGAGGCTGTGCACTTTGTAGCTGGCAATGAGCCGTTCGCAAGATGGCAAGTGAAAGTAGGAATTTCTTCTTATGTTTCTAAGACATGATTTAGAAGAAGAAAATCAGTTGTCATGGTAAATTAAAAAGCAAAGTGCATGTGCATCCCTTCGGAATAGAAGATGCCTCGCATTAATGTCATGGAGATGGGGGAAAAAACACAACAAAAACAATGGGAACTAAAAACAGGTGTCTTTGTCAGCAATCCAAAAGCACAAATTGCAATCACTTCTCCAGGTAATCACCTGAGATTGATGCAGCTGGACTAATCAATTGTTAATCATTAGTATTTCCTTTCTGGAAACTCCAGCTCAAACTCATGATTAGGAAGTGAGTGCAAAGTGGTTCTGACCCCTGGTTTCAAGGCAGACATTTGCACTGCACACTGAGCAGGCATGGCACCATCTGGTCTTGGATGGCTATGCGTGCAGTGCCTGCACGAGCTGAGTCAGCTCTGCTGTACTCCTAGCCTCTTTTGTGACACTTAAATTCTAAATATTTCTAGGAAATTGGTGTCTGGCTGACCTTGTACCTGCTCCCTTTGATCTAGTGTTCAGCCTGGCTGGTAATTTCAGCAGATAAGTTCCTTTGCTAAGACTGAATTCATTTAAATGCCTCATCACTGAGAAAAATATTTTGCAGTGGAAGAAAGACCGCAGATGTGTTCTGAACACTGCCATATGTAAAAATAAAACATTTTGGTGCAAAATTTCTGTGAGAGCAGAGCCCACCCACCAGCCCTTTCTCCAGTGCAACCAGGATAGGTGGCGTGCAGCCAGATTGCATTACGACTCAGTTTGCTTTCAGGAGCTGCCTTCCAGCCATGACAAGGTCTGTGTCATTTTTCTTACTTTTTTTCCTTCCAAAACATAGGTAGAAGGCCTTTTTCCTTGCACTTGAGTTCAAAGAGATCTCCATGCTTGGAAGCCTTCTGCCTTTCCCCTCACCTCTGAACGCTGCAGCAGAACGAGCTCTGTGGCTGGGCAACGTGTGCACAATTAAATCCCCTCTGTCCCACTCTGGCATGCTAATCCCAGTCCTCCTGTGGATTTTTTTGCTGAATGAATTGTGAAGGCAGAAGTCAGAGCTTGGTTTCAAAAGCAGTGAGCTGTATGTGACAGCACAGAGAACAAAATGATGTCAAGATAAAAAAAAGGGTTTGAAATGAGTTCCACAAGCGTTCAAAAATTTGCACTCCAGAAAATTCCTGGTATGACTTACTTCAGTGTTGAACTTCATGTTTATATTAATAGATACTTTCTCAAATGCAGGAAAAAGTTTTTTCCCAAAATCAAAATAAATATTTCTATTAAAAAAAAAAAACAACATTCGATATTCTCAAAATCTCTCCCCAGACTCAAAGCAAATTTCAAGAGAATCAGCAAATTTTTACGTAAGCTTTTTTCATTACCAATGTTGAGGGAACAAGAGCTTCCCAAGCTCTTTTCAGTGCTCTTTTATGTATTCATGCTTCATATTTTACTTGTTCTTTCCATGGCATCGTGATGCATGTTGATTGAGAATACACTTGTTACACCAAAGCTCATGGGATAATTGGTTTGAATATCAAAACACACCTCCCACTTGGGCAGCAGTTGACACAGGCTGTCCATACAGACACTAGGGTGAAGGGATGGGAGAGCCAGGCAGGCACTTATCTAATTTGCGAAGCTGTTCTGTGGTTATCTTCAATTTGTTATCATTGTCTGTATTTGTCAAGAGCAGGAAAAATATATTTGTTTACAAGTCAGTGAGGCAGAAGCTAAATTTGAATTCAGCAAGTTCTCACAGCTTCTATTTCTCGTTTATAAAACATTCATATGAATCAAATTGTACCTCAGTGATGAGCGACACAAGCAGCCAAGATAACTTCATGGTGCATGAAATGCACTGTGGGTAAAAGGAAAGACCTCTTCCCTGTCCTCACTGCTGGTCCAGAAGCAGCTGCTCTCCCTTTCCAGGGGACACGTGCATTCAAACAGGCAAGACAGAGCTCTCAGCAAGCTTTTGGTGTCTAAGGGTCAACCCAATCTGAATAGAGATTTGCCCCTTTTGTCTTTTGGACTTTGTTTCACATCACTAATGGAAAATCAACTGAAACAACTATAAAAGGACCCAATTCTAAAAAGGCATCAAAATGGAAGTTTATAATAATCTGTATTATAATCAATAATATGTAGTAATCAAAATAATCCATTTTGAAATACAGATTTCAAAAGAAATGGAAACAGTTACCTTCCATTCACAATGCTCACTTCAGACATAAAAATTAAGTCTATTTTATAGCTTTTTATATTTTTCCCTGTCTACTCATTTCACCCATTATTAGTGCACTAACACTGAAACAACACTGGACGCTCTGGGTAAAGAGAGAAATGGAATGTAAAATGCATTAAGAATAACATATTCTTAATGCATGTTCTGCTGCCAGTAAGCATTGCAGTTCAGAGAAGAGAGAGGCCTAGAGTGCTGCCTCTTTTGTTTGTTCTTCTCACAGTGAGGAAGATAAGCTCTTTAGAATCATAGAATGATTTGGGTTGGAAGGGAACTCAAGGATCACCAAGTTTCAACCCCCATGAAGTTGGCAGGGTTGCCAACCTCTAGATCAAGTACTAGTACTTTACTTCTTCAAAAAGTGTTTTTACATTTGGGATTTCCACACTAATCTGGTATCTTCTCATTTCTATTAGGAAAAAAAATTAAATTTAAATGTAAACTCACATAACCCTTTTTATTCTGTAAGTAGTCATATATTAGAACTGCCATCCTAAATTAAGGCTTTCTAAAGAGCCTACATGTACAGGGGTGCCCGAAATAGGACCATTGCTGTCTGATATTATCCACCCTAGCACTTTTTAGAGGTTAATATAAAGCATCCTTTCCTTTTTTTCTTCTTAGGATTATTACTAACTGATTTACCATATTGTAAGAAAGCGATCCAGAAGTTCAGCCAAATATCTTACTTTCATTTCACACCTTCCTGAAATCCATCCTTATAGTACTCAAGTCCCTGCGCAGTCTCCACAAGCATACTGAACAAATAAAAAAACAAAAACAAAACAAACTAACAAAAGAAGCACCTAATGGCAACCAGAAAAGTTGAATGCCAGCTGAGCCAAAAGATCTTTTAGTATTAATGAATAGTTTCCACTTTGGAACATTAAGCAATTTGTTAGCTTGCAGTAGAGTGACTCACAAGTGCTTTAATTTGTCTTACTGGCAGGCATCCAGTTCAAGGGTGCAACAGTATATGCTCCAAAACGAGCAGACAGTCTCCATATGGAACATTATTACTTATAAGGATGATTTTTGTATCATTTAGATCACTGATGATGGCTTCCAGTACAGTAATTCCAGAGTGCTGACCCTGTACGACGCAGTCTGCCAGGCCTGCGAATCCCATCCAACTGGACTTTGTAAATTAAAGGTAATTTAAAGAGCATAAATGTTTAATATGGATCATTCATCTCCTCCCCAGCCCTCTCTCTCCCTCTGATGCACTGTGCACAATAACTGTTATAGAAGAGGAAAACCTGTTTCATAGTTCAGCAGAACAGCCTGATACTTTTCTGTCTTTCATAATCTCCTGTCTGTGAGTGTTTATATATATATATTTTATGTATCTATATGCACTTTTTATGTTGGACCTTTCTCAGAAGGTTGCTTCCCAAAGAGCATGGCAGAGAACAGGTATATGTGTGGATGTCAGTACAAATAAATAAGGCTGGGCTGTGGCTGCCCTGCCATGAAGCTTGTCTCTGCTGTTGAATTATCTTTTCTAGGAAGCTCAGTTAGCTCTCCCAGGCTAGTTGGATGGGGTAATGCAGCTATAAGGTATTTCACTTCTACACCCATTTTCTGCTGTCTCAAGAGATATACTATGACGTATGTTACGCAGTCTTTGTCATGAGAAAACACCCTTGAGAGAACGTAAAACATTCTTGCTTACATTAAATAACACTAAGTACAAACATATAGTGCTTTGACAGCTTCAAAACCATAATCAAAAGCCTAGTGCTATGTTTAAAACTGCCAGCGCACTGGGAACTCTCAGGAGAGCACTATATCCTTTTGTTTTCCTGTGAACTTTCCAGTGTAACATCCTTCATCCCTTGAAAAAGAGATTGCCTGCTCTCATTTTCTATAGGACTGCATTAGACACCTTTTCTCTTTTTCAATGGGGCTTTAAAAGATACTTTTGGAGGGTGCTGATAAGAATATTTGAATGTGCTAATCCTGATTTCCTACCCTGAGGCAAGTACAAGTGAACTGGAGACCAGCAGTCTTCATTCTTTTAAAATGAAGATTAATCAGGTACATTGTAACCGATTTGCCTGGCTGTTCTCATTAACACTAACGGGAAAACACAGTTTTCAAAGTTGCTCTGATTGCAATAAAGCATCAGTTACCAAAATAAAATGGAAGATCACATATTTCTAAGTAAGTAGAAACTGGTTTATAAACCCAAATGAGGGCAAAGCTATTTCAATTTAAGAATAAAAATAATTATGTCATAACCACGTCGATTAAAACTATTTGTTGTTATTTTTACGGCAAGGGCTTTCCCTATTCTTACATTTTTGGAACTCAGAAATAATATACATGCCATCTCAATATGCTGGTTTTCTTTTGGTGTCATAATAATTTTTAGCCTGAGATGCTTCAAGGGATTATTTGAACTAGGCTTCCAATTGCATCAAACCACTTTCTAATTACTCCTCTTATAACACCACTTTGTAATATCTAAATTGCTTTCAGAAAAGGTGTTTCAATTAAGGGACATTTTATACCAAGCCAGCTTGCATGCTCTGTTCCTCTTTTATGGAGCCTATTCTCTACCACATTACCACATCAGAAAAACAGCAGCTTTTTCATCAGAACTTCAAGCCTTTGAAAGCAACGATGTAATATAATCTAATTCACATCCAAATTTTAACATTGGAGATCTGTCATGTTGTATCACATTGGGAAAATTATGAGTGTCCTTTTAGGTCTGGGTTTTGTGGGTATTTTACCTATTGCACTTGATGTGGTACTATGCCACCACCAATACTGCCCACTAACCCATGTCCCTTAGTACCACATCTACATGATTCTAGAACACCTACATGAGATTTCACAGAACTCACATCTGAGAGCTACTAAATAGTCACCACATCAGTAGTCACAGCTGGGAATAACAATCATATCCACTACATACTGTTAAAATGAAAATAGAATCATGCTCACATTCATCTATGACAATCAGCATTACATGTTATCTGTGATAAAGTATTCAAAGCTACAGGGATCTTACGTGGAAACTGAATGATCTCCACGTCATTCTTTCTCCCTGTCACCATATAAATTGATATCGATTTATTGTTTCAAGAGACAAGCAAGATTCTGCTTATCTCTAAAATATATTAACTGCTAATTTTTTAACTTTCCTTCTTTTTTTTTTTTTTTTTTTTTCCTTGCATTCACCTCCCACCCATTTTTATTTTCTTTTTTGACAGGACAATACTTGTAATATAGATGGACTTTGCTATGGGGAAGGAGAGTCAAGCCCTGCCAGTCCTTGTCTTCTCTGTGAACCTGATATCTCTAAGTTCACCTGGTCTATTAATGAAAGTAAGACAGCTTTTCCTAAGATTTAGAAGCTCTTAGTTGGGAATTTAGTACTCAGTTTATGAAATGCAGTTTCTCCATTTGTTGATATGGATCTATTCTGCATAGTGCTTGTGGACTGTTTACAGTGGGAATAATTGGGTGCACAACAAATAGGGACTGAACAGACACACAAAGTACTCCACTATGTGTACTATGCATTTGGCTTCTCCTCTTGTTCTGGCTGAAACCTGACAAATCTTTCATTATTAAAATCAAAATAATGGCTTATAAAGAAGTTTTTCATATGCTGATAACCCATGCAGGGCCCTGTGATGGTGATGGACCCTAAAAACATCGGTGATAGTCTCACAGGTACAAATCTTTAGGGGAACAGTTTGAGGAAAACACTGCTTTCAAAACACTAATGTATATTTTTGGTCTGAGCCAAATACTGTCAATTGCCACACAAAAGACCATGGAATGGCCCAGACTCTAAGTGATAAGGAAACCAAGCAGCTCATTGTGCAGCCCTTCATAGCAGGGGTCATGGGGAATGCTGCCTTTCAAACATACAAGCACCTCCTGAATGCTAATGGCGGCACTGGCCTTCTTGGCCACCTGGGCACACTGCTGGCTCATGTTCAGCCAGCTCTCAACTAACACCTCCAGATCATTTGCTGCCACATAAGATCTGGCTTTATGTTCTTTTGTGTCTATAACACCTTTTACCCTCCATCCAGTAAACGCCATCTTTGTGCTTATCTTTAAAAGCACACCATCATCAATATTTCATTGATTACTTTGGGCACAACTTTTATGGGCTCCACGTCTTGATTGTTTGTGAAGCAGAAGTTAAATTAATAGATGGGGGAGAAGCAGCTTAGAAAGCTTTGATAGCACAGCAGCAATGAGTAAATGCAGAGGCATTTAAATAGCTGCATAATGCGAGGCATCCTATGGAAAGCAAAGCGTGATAGAAGGATATGCACACACAAAAGAAATGATGCAAAGACACAGGTTGTCTTTATGGGAACAAATATACGGGTCAAATTTTAGATTGTGACTTTAAATTATCATAAATATTCTCTAAGTTAAAAATTACTGTGGACAAGTTGCACTGTGAGAAGATTCCTTTAAATGTCGGTATATGTCAATTTGTACTGCTGGTTACGGAGGAAAGAGGCTGGAGATCAAGAAGGCTTCTGACACTGAGATGAAATTTCCAGCCCTGCATAGTGCTGCTGTCACCTGAAGGTATTCATTTGATCTTACTTTTCCTTGGTTTCTAATATTAAAATGTAATGCTTTTCTTTACCTTGCCTTGCTTGCATCTTTTTATTGTAAATACCTTCAGGCAGCATTTGTCTATTACTATACAATAGCTCAGTATAATTAGGCTTTTATCATCATTAAGGAAATACTGAATGTAAACAACACTGAAAACAACACTAAAAATAACAAGACCAATGTTGATATGCACTCCTGTCTCTGGGGATAGAGAATTTCAGTATCGCAGATGTACATCTCCTGGCACTGAGAAGATCTTTATTCCAGAAATGTCCAACTTAATTCAATTAAACTGCTGAGGCTTAATTACCACTCACGTGTAAAGAGAGTAGAATCTACTCAAAGGAAGAATTTCACAACTTTTGCCACCAAAAGTTGCCCAGCCAGTTTGTCATTCATCATTTTGAGAATTGGCTTGCTTACATTTAAACAGAACAGGGTAGAGTAGGGTAGGGTAGGGTAGATCAGCATACATACAATAGAGATACAGTTAAAGTTTCACTAAGAACTAGGGGACACGAAGCAGTAAGAGGTTACAAAAGATATGCCCAGACTCCTCCCATGTATCTGATACACATAGACGATAATCAGTATGAACATGAGAAAAATAGGAGTAAAGAAGTGCGTGTTTGGTAAAGCCATTTGCTGCCTCTAACATCTAAATTGTTTCCTCCACCAGTCTCAGGATACTTTCATCACTGAGAGAACCCCTACAAAGACCTGCACTGCGAATCTTTACACGGTAGAAACAAGAATTTATGTAATCATGGTTTCATTTTTGCTGTTTAGACAACCTGCCTCCTGTGTTCCAGGCCCCCTCCAGCCAGCTGCTGACATTTATTGGTGAGAATTTTGTTTACCAGTTAACAGCGGTGGATCCAGAAGGGTCAGCTGTGCTATTCATCTTAGAGGCTGGGCCACAGGATGCCAGGCTCTCTCCTGCTGGCCTCCTTATCTGGAAAGTTGATTCAGAAGAAACGCAGACCTTTGAATTCACTGTGTCGGATGAATGCAATGCGCAGAGCAGATACGCTGTTGAGGTAAGAAAAAAATACTGTAAAGAAAAGGACAACATACCTGTTTATCATGTTCTCATTTTGGCACAGTTGTCATTATAACTAATAGTTTGTTACTCTCTAAAAATAAAAAGACCTCAGCTATTTCCTCATAAACCCTTATATTATGCAGCATAGCAATAATGATCAATTAATGGAATAAATATCTCTGAGAACGTAGAAACTATACATACAATGAACATGAGAGAGTGCTATTGATTGCTGTTTGAAAGAACTCTCTTCTAGAGCCTGTTAATGGTTCATTAATCTGCTTTAAAATTCACATTCTGCATTTGGATCATAGAAAAAAAAAAAAAAAGAAGTATATAACATAAAAGACCCAGCTTTAGCTATAAAAGGAAGATTATAACTCATTCTCAATGATATCTTTAGAGGATGTCTTGCTCTTATGTCATTACTCCACACTTTAAGTTTCTTGGCAGAGCTCGTGCATGACTTTATTGCATAGCCTAACATTAATCCCATGATAGGATGAGCTAATAAAGTGGGATGCAGAACCCTGGCACAAGAACAATTTTGTGAAGAAAAGGATATTTTTCCTAAAGACTCTAATTTCCACTCATTCAAACCACTCGCATCAAAAATACTGAGCTGCTGAACACAGGCAGCAAAGGGGAAATGCTTCAAACTAGATCTGCATTTAACAAGATGGGAGAGTACAGAGGTTTGAATCTGTTGAAATCCCTTTCTCATCCATATGTAACATGATTATGGATCTCTTTTCCTTGAGAGAGAAACTGGGTGAAGAATGCCACAATCCTCATCCTGACTGGGAGCCATTTATAATGTAAAGCAGTAAGGATGGTACACAGGCAGGCAAAGAGAAGAGATTTTTCATTTCTTTGAAGAATGAGGAACAAATCTTGCCCTCAGATACCATGTAAAAACTGCTGTTATAGCAAATAGGGCTTCTTTCTCAAAAGAAGTTAGAATGTGCCCCTAAGTGATGAAGAAAAAAATCCCTTTAAAGCCAAGATTCCAGTCAGATAAATAAGTATGCTGAGTATGAGACCGTCTATCTAGACAAAGGAAATTGGTTAGAAATAAGTATTCATAATACTAGACAACGTGCTTGCACTGCAAATCTGGCCTCTCCTGACAGGTACCAATATACCTCTCAGCAGTCATTATTCAGAGGAATCTTATCACAACTCTCTTTTGCCTTCCTCAGGTTCGAGTGAAGCCCTGCAGCTGTCTCAATGGCGGAACGTGTGTTACCAATATTAAATTCCCCCCGGGCCTTGGTGAATATCTGTGTTTATGTCCAAATGGGTTTGATGGAGGGCTTTGCCAGGAAGATATTAATGAGTGCAAATCAAACCCGTGCAAAAGCGGAACTTGTGTGGATGGTGTGGACAGCTATGCTTGTCAATGTCCCCCTGGTTTAGGAGGTAAGACATCCTTTCTTCCAGCTCTAACAAGAGACAAATTGCATTTCAGGAAATTTTGACTGCAGTGGAACCACAGGAATATGTCAAATGGTCAACATTAGATTCCTCTTCTGACTTAGCTTTTGACAGATAACATGTAAAAGCAGCAATCTAATTATCCATGCTCAAGGGAGGAAAAAGACCTAGAGGTCCACAGCCTGAAATGACCATGATAGAATGGTCAACCACTGTATCTCAGCTTCCTCCAGCTCATTTCCCAGCTATCCACATGCGAGATGAGCCGAAGGAAGAAGTTTAAGCCTTAGAGAACCACAAGCCCATTTTGCTGTCAGACATACTGATGGAGCAAAGTCTAAGCTTTTAAGCTGTTCAGGGCTGACCACAATATGATTTTAAGGGATACAGGCAAAAGGAATGATCATTGCCCCCAGAAAGTTCCTTTCAGAAATGCAGAATATAAAGCACGAAGTGGACAAATAGAAGGAACTGCAGTGAAGACAGAAGAGGTGGCTGCAAGACATACAGTGCATACAGAAACAGAGGGAGTGAGAACCTGAAGCGTCAGGTGAGAGAGCAGCATCTCATAGATCACAGAGGTGAGAGCAGCTTGGAGCTGTGCTGGGCTGTGTGGAGCTGCTGCCAGTTGTCATACAGAGCCCTGCACCTCCTCCACACCGGGACCCACACTCCAGCTGCTGGTATCACAGCTTGCTGCCAACACAACAAGCTTTCACATCAGCCCAAATATGCCTTCTGGAGCCTCACTGAAGCTGCAGTCTTTTTGTTTGCAGTTTATCCTTTCAGGGGGCAGAAAGCAAATCTAAACATACAGGATTTCTAAACGTGGCCTTTTCTTAGCTTTGCTGCTAGCATCAGTGCCATTTAAAAGAGCAGCCACTTGCACAGTAGTCATTAGTTTGATTAGTCATTAGAAAGGGAAGGCTTTGCCTTACTATCCATTCATGTCAGAGTCAAACCAGCCTCCCAGCAGTAAAGGAAGAGTACTAATAGAAACAGTTTTAAGATACCATTTGGGCCAGAACCATCTGAAAAGGAAGGAGAAAAAAAAAACCAACATCTTAAGCTGAACTCAGATTTCAGTGCTTGAAATCTTTGTAAAAGAATAACTGCTCTGGTCACATATGAAAGCGTGAATGAATTAATGACACCCAAAATACTGATTGCAGTACAGTGCTATATCTTTGAAAATTTCAAGAAGTAACATCGAAAGCACTTAACTGTTACTGCATATGGTATCTATATACAAAAACCATGAATGGATTACCCTCAGTGGGCTCATGGAGGCAGGAAGGCATCCCTTCTCTCCTTCAGTTGTTCATCATGCCTTTTCTGTTTTAGTCATGTGGGATTGAAAGTTCAGACTTCATTACATATAAGATTCCAATAGAGATGAAACAAAAGCAATTCAGACTTGGGAGCTCATAAAAGTGGCCAAAAAGTTTCATTATAATGACTCCAGGTAATGGGACAGTACAGCCAAGATCTACTATCGAAAGTGTTTATGCCACAAAATACTACTGAGAGAGCTATGCACAAGCCTATGAATAGAGAAGAATGATAGAAAATGAAATTTCGATCAAAACTTCAAACAAAAATCAACACATTTAGAGTGGCATAGTCTTCAATTCCTCTGGAAATAATTTCCCCAGGGAAATTTCGGAATATCTTCAGCTGGATTTGGTTAAATACCTTAAATACACTGTTGAGAATAATTCCTCACTGCCTTCAAGGAGGTAGATTAATGGATAAAAAACAACTCCACGAGTTAATAACATCAGTGTGTCTGCTCCTGTTCACTGACCTTCACCAGTTTCTCATTCCTGAACATAGATGGAACGAAATGTATTATTCCACATAAAATAGTTTGCCATAATTATAATGCTTTATTTATGAACTCATATATTCTAAATGTGTATATTCTAAAATGTGGTTCTTATTCTTACGCAAACATTCAAGAATGAAATATCCAACACTTCAGAATAACTTGCTTGAAAGCAGCATACATCCAGCTCTGAAAATAAGGACAAGGGACACCTTAATGGCCAGAAAAACAGTTTTCCTGAATCCTTAAGCCCTGTCAGTTTAGATAAATATGAAGTGCTTTTCCTGTACCTCCCCGGCCCAAAAGCTAAAACAGAATCAACAGCAAAATAAAAATATGATTGAGCGAAACAGAAATACATCTCAAAATTTTAATAGCAGGTGAGAAATTATAAGCAAACGGAGCTGAAAGCCAGCTGGGAAGGAGATGATTTTACTTCAGGGCAGGTTCTGTGACAACAATAAAATCTCATCCTTGATGCTGTGTTTATGTCTCAGTTCCCCAGAAAACCATCAATAATCTAATGAGAAGGCAATGCTATACTGCTCAAGTGACAGCATCATTTCACCATCAAATCTTTACAAATGATAGGGAACAGGTAGTAGAAACAAAATGTTAACTCTTTTGAGAGCTTCCAAAACACCACTGCAAGAGAAGAAGGATAAAGAACAAAGTGTTTTGCTGAATGGTAGCAATTCAGGTGCATCTGTGTATCTCTGGCAGTCTAAGTGCACAACGCAAAAATAGGAACAAGGCAGGGAGAGCCATAGGAAAATGTGAGAGGATGATGACTCCAGAATTATTAATACTTCCAATTTCTGCAGAGGTTAACACATGCTTATCTCATTGTGCATTCAGAGCTCGTTCATTCTCCTGCACCAGTGTTAACAAGAATTGCCATTGTTTCTTCTTTCGGTCAATGAAAGCAAGAGTCTTATCTTCTTGAGAACAGAACACCTTGAAAAAACTGTGTCTAAATCATAAAACCATCCTTTCTTTTCCTATGTATCCGTTCATTAATATGGGGGCAGAGAGGAAGAGAAGGAAACTGGGGAAAAAAAATTGTTCACAGTTTATAATAAAACCTTACAGTCTCTCAATGAGATTTCCTCTTCATTTAGATTCAGCTTAACTTGAACACTGTCAAAAAGTCCTTCTCTACATCTGTAGGTGGTCAGCTTCTCTCAAGGCATGAAAGGAGTTGATCTCAGCCAATTTCTCATGCGGGGACAGAGAAATAGAGCTGGCAAGGAAACAGATGTTTCAACATTGCAACCTGAAGATCTTTTATTCCTAATATTTTCATTTGTGCACTAGCAGTGTCAATAGAACTGGGACTCCCTTGTGTTGCAGCACACTGGAGGTCACGCAAGCACAGTAACTGACATTTTTTGTTGAAGACAATTTTCTATCAATTTCTACTGCCTCTCCAGCAACCTTCAGCAAAGTTTAAGACTTTCCAAACGTTCTCCTCAGATACTGCTGCATTAACATTATGCCAACATTAATCAGACAGCATTTAAAACTGTCTCTTTTAGTGAAACGAAGTGCTGCTTGCATAGTTCTACATTTAAGTTCGTTGGGTGGGTTTTAAAATTTAGGCTGGTATTTATGGTTTCCTTTGCTTTTTGGAATTCTCTCATTTTTGAGATTTTAAAGTCAGACTTTTGCAAAACAGTGTGGAGGAAGGAGGGAAAAGAGGAAAAGGGATTGAGAGAGAAGCAGATCTTGTTACCCAAACTGGGAGCTTCATTTCCACTTTGATTGCCCCTGGTATCATGTTTCATCTTTATACTAAAGGAAAGAAAATAATTACTAATCTAACTGGAAGAAAACTCATTCAATATTTCCCACAATTTGATGTCTAATAATTTCCTAATGTGTCATCAGACAGCAGTATCAGATAGAAACAGCATCATGCTAGCAATGTGCTAATTAAATTATACAGTATAAACAATAATCCAAAATGTAACCAAAGAGAAAAAATAAATGAATACCTGTAACACTAGGTGATGTCCAACATGCATAAAACAAGGAGTGCTTTCCTAAGCAAGAAGCATGCACAAGTAGAACAACCTCTATTCAGATGGCAGCAGAAAAGGGACATGACTTTTGTCCTGCTGTTCATTTTTTTTATTGCCCACAAGAGAAAGCAGGCATGAGAAGGTGAAGCCACTAGCTCCACGGAGGCAGCACAACCAAGAGAGATTTCTATTATATTTTCTTACATGAAGATGCTATTTTAACTTGAAAGGAGCTGTGGAACCTGAAACACTGAAAAAACGAGAGATTATGCTGCAGAAGATGAATAACAATGTTCTGTTTCTTTAGTTCAGTTTCCTGTGACAAATTTGCATTTTGAAGAATGAAGTTTTAAGAATAAAAAGAGATTCTATCTTAGTCAACCTGAATATCCAATAAGGAACAAGGCATTCTGAATATTATGCAGCAGAAAGTCCCTTTCTTGGGACTCCCCAGAAAGTGTCCCAGTTTCATTGGGTATTCTACAAGGAGAAAAGAACAAAGGGCATTCCTTAATACAGATGTTATGGAATAGTTCAAGACTGGGCTACATGTTCCAGTAACCAACAGCAGCCAATCAAATTTTTTCAAGTATTCAGCAGCATGTTTATCTGAAGCTCAAGTGAGTCTGTAAACAACACTGTACATGATTACTCCACATCATTTCACGTTCAGATAGTCATTTTAGCTTTGGGGTCAGCCTCCTCTACGGGTATCCATTCATTCATCCAGTGCTGTGACTGAACATGAATTACTTCAAGGGATTTTAAAATGTTTACATCCAAAATCATCAATAGCCACGATCCACTGTTTGGGGTTTAGATCCCACAGTAGCTTATCTTCTGAATGCCAGCTCTGTGGGTCACAGACATTTTCAGACAATTCCTTCAAATTTTAATTTAAATAGAAAAATCTGTTTTGTTTTAATTTGATCGTTTTGTCAGATTCACCTTTAGCCAGACTCTATCAGGCTGTTGTACAATAAGCTATTAATAGTGTGACATTCCCACAGAAATGAAAAGCATGGAGTGTTGTATCCTAAAGCCAAAATGGGTACATTGCCTGCATTGGTGTATGACAAAGATCTCACATAAACACGATAACAAAAACAGAAGGTAAGACATGAAAGGCAGAGCAATAATTTATTTAATAAGCAGCGCTTTCTAGGAGCTGTAGTCCCAAGTTCAGCACTCCTGGTGCCAACAAGAACAGTACTAAATAGTCTGATGAAAATATGTTTAAGGCCAATTGTGGGGAAATTGATGCTAACGTGAGTGACATCTCCTGTAATGAGTTCACAGATAAGAAATAAGCCTCAATCTGAATGAACATTTAAGCTGAAGAATAAACAGGGAATATCTCCTGATTATTAACCTCCGCTTGGTTTGCCACAGGGCTTACTTGTCAGGAAGACAAGAATGAGTGTGAAGAAGGTCTGTGTTTTCCAGGAGTGTCCTGCATGAACACCTTTGGATCATACGTGTGTGGAATTTGTCCAAGTGGGATGGAGGGAAATGGTAAAACTTGCAAATGTAAGAGCATGATTTGTTATAATAGAAGGGTAAAAATGGGCCCACTTCTACTGCTGTTATCCTCAATTGAGTACTTTGTCATTCACCTCAAGGACAGACTTTTAAATATACAAACCAGACTACTGTCATCTTATATTAATATGGATAATTGCAAATTGGTCTCAGTTTGCTGTTTTTCACTGCAGTTTAGTTTCATTTTGATTAGAATGAACACCATAGCATACAAAAAAGGTATTTTTCAGATGTCAGCCAGATAATTTGCCAAGGACGTTCTCCAGGTTCCCCACTACTTCTCTCCTAAATAAATCATCTACTAACAAGTAGCTGGGGAGCACCTCAGGATTAGTTCTGTTCTGAGTGAATGCTGAGCGGAATGGATGTGGGGTAAGAGGAAGAAGATCCATGTGCAAATCCTTCACAGATTTCACCTCTCTGAGGTGTATTTCATGAGAGGGCGAAGCTCACAGCTGCTGAGCTTGTGTTTGGCATGAGGTCATACCACAGATCCAACAAGCAAAATAAAAGGCAGGAACAATTTAATACCTTTTCAGTATGCATTGCTGAGGTAGTTCTCTGCAAACTCTTGAGCAGGAAGCTACAGTGACTTTCTACCACGCTGAGACCTTTCCACTGCATGAGACATAAAAGAACCACACTCTGCTTTTTTCAGTCACACACGAATCTTCTCCAGTAATGACATTTGGTGAGCAAGGACAAGAAAACTCAACATTTGATGTATTCCTCACTTGGTTGTTGGGGTTTCCAATCAAGTCCAAGAAAAAAATGATGCAGATGTTAACTTTTTCTTATATTGACTGCCAAAAGAAAAAACTGATTTTGTCTGCTTTACTAAGAATCCCCTCAATCATACTGCCAAACACCTGCATAGAAATGTTTTCTTTTATGTCTTGTTTAGCCATGCTGATTATTTCAAAGTGATTTTGGACCTGTTTCATGATTTTCTATTTTTCTAGGTAATCTGACAACAAGGAAATTTATACAAAACTATGCTCAAAATAGATCCGAATCATGACTTCTTCCTTTGCGTTTTTTTAATTGCAGATATATTTCCTTATTTCTAAAATACACATTTGTTAGAACAAGCAAAATAGAGTAACTAGAAATCATCCTACCTTCTACTAACACACAGGCTTACCATGCCCACACTTTCCTCACTGAAGGGTAAAGGCTTCTCAGAGGAAGGAGAAATCTGAAGTAATTTTATAACTGCTAAAGCAGTTCATAGCTCACTGCATTATTCAACATATATAAGTTTCATAGTCTTGGGCTCTGCTAGGAGCACAGAAAATCCAGGGCAACAGCTGTGTAACTTAAAACAAATGCAGTGTTGGCAATCCCTAGATCATCCAAGAAATTCTCTTCAAATTTTGTATAAATTGATATTTTCTAAAGGTTCCAGCAATCAGCTTTTCTCTTTACATTCATATATACTTAGCACAGATATTTTAAAACACACAAAGTTTGCAAGTGAGCTAAAGCCAACGAACACACACAATGCAGTTTCAGGCAGAAGCTTTCAAGGAGAGGCAGGAATCAAACAAACTTCAGGGCCCAGGCATTTGTGCACTGTCTTCATTCAACACCACACACTGCACAGAGACCCGATGCCTTCCTACTGCCCTTAGCTCAATAAAAGATCACTGTGCATATTAAGTACGTCTCTCAGATAAGCAAGGATTATTGAGTTTACACATTGTAATTTTTTCTATATTTATGTAGAAGCTTTGCTGAATGTCAGCAGCTGACTCACCTGATTTGCCTTTATTTGCTTGATGATCAGCTTCCAGAGCAAACTGATGTCAAACTATCTGATTTGCTGTTACTGTTGCTTTTTATCATCAATCACAGCTAGTCCCTTAACACCTCGTTTCCTCGTCTCCATGTTTTCTTTTTACAGCTGTGCTTGCTGCTGACTTTACAAAAGCTTTAATCATTGACAACAAGAATGGCAAAGATGATTTGAACAAAACTGAAGTTGAGTGGCCACTGCACCCCTTAGAAGCAAAGAATTCTCCTGTAATTAGGAATTTTAACATAAGCACTAATTATGGTAGGTATACAAGGATACAAAATATTTTTCAGCTTTTCATAGACTCATTAAATCCAGAAAAGACCACCAAGGTCACCTAGTCCAACCACTGAACCATACCACCATGTCCACTAAACTATGCCTACATTGCAGTTTACATATTCAGAAATCATGCATTTAACCATTTTATCAGTAAACTTAAACTATTTATAATACATCACAGAAAGATAGAGTTAAAATCTCCTCAACATATCAGCCTGTAGGTTGCTGCTAAACAATTTTGCAAGGGAAAAGAGCCCTTAGAGCAGTAACAATCAGACTGGTCAGGCTGAAGTACAACCTCATCAGTTTTAAGACAGAACACAATCACTCCAAATCATAGTGATCAATGGAAAACAAGATGGTAAGAATGACAGCTTATGCCAACTTGCCGTAAACAAGTGATGTTGAATTTTATTCCATCATCTGACTGGCAGTCACTGCATTAAGACCAAGCTTTGAGCATAAATCAATATGACTACAACAGATGCTTTTCCCAGGATATTTGTGACTGTCATTGTTACAGCAGGACCCAGAGAACAACAGCACTTTCAAAAAAGAGTGTGTATTGCTTACGTAGACCCACTTCTAATCAGTATTTCATTTTTCCTTGATTTTCTAGTGAGAGCAGGAAAGAAAATAATTTAGACTTGGTATATCTCTTTTGTGGGGACATATGTGGGAGAAAATGGTCTTTTTTTCTCACCTTCTTTTGCACATCTGTGCCAGATCTAGCCAAAACATAACCAGAAAATGATTTTTCTACATATCTGTGATATTCTTGTATGCAACATGCAATGACAACACTGGAAATGCTTGAGAATCACGATAGAGACTTCATAGAGGCCGTTATAAAAGATCTACAACCATCATTAAGATTTAATTCATCATCTGTTCTCTGTCGACACTATTAAATACTTCACAGGGAGTTCATATTTGTGCCATTCAGTGACATCATAAGTGATAAAATACCACATACTACCAGTGTTTAATTTAGCACATATTTCTAAGATAATTAAAATAGTCTCTTGTTATACAAGGTTCAACACTTTGAAGATGATTTCTAGATCAGAAACATAAGTACTTGTCAGTGAATTCTTAAAGATAAGGTATATATGTACTATAAGATTTGGTGATTACTTTCCAATTATATGAGACCAGAATGATATCTGAAAAACAGATTCTTACTCAGTTAAACTTTCACTTACGCTGAAAATTACAGTTTCTATATTATCAATGATAAATGCCTAACAACTCTGAGTTATAAACTTGTAAATATGTAGAAGACTAATAAATCTTGCTTTAATGAGAAACAGCTGTTCTGTTACACTGTGCCTACAGGACATTCTCATGCTTGGCACAAGGTCTGGGAACATTCTGCATTAATTACTCTTCAAAAGAATAAAAGCAGTTATAAAACTTTAGCTGGGCTTAGACATACTTACTTGTATATATGCAATTTGTCTGAGAAATGATAAATAAGCATGTTTGAACTTTCATTGTTTTTTCTAGTCCACGCAGCACATCAGCCCCGTGTTACCACCTGTGCCAATAGGCCATGCTTTCCTGGAGTGCTGTGTTTCAATAGGAAACCCCCTTACGTTGGCTATGTCTGTGGCCGATGTCCAACAGGGTTTTTTGGAAATGGCCGAACCTGCAGCAAAGCCTCCAGATCAGGTACTTTCTAACTTTTGGAATTTTTAAGTAGTTTTGAAGACAAAGGCTGTAAGTGAACCTGAAGCAGTATGACATTACAATACAATGTGCTTTAAAGTCAAACCCCAGTGCCTTTTTCCAACTGTGAATACTCTTACCTGACAAGCATCCTATTTCAGGAGTCCCTGTCTCTCAGCAATGAGATTCACTCTCTCATTTGCCACCAGTAGAATTCTTCAGGACAGGACTTATTAGAGGTACGAATCACATCTGTATTTCTGCCACTGCACAGACATACAATTTCAAAACATGTTTCCTTCTCCGTGGGATAGGAACATGACACATGCCAGTACCACTCTGCTTTTCTTCCCTCCTAACTCATTTGTGGCAAGGCATCTTTCTCCAAGGTAATCTGTGAAGATGATGATGAACAAAGTGCCATATAAGAACAACTATAGCAGCAACATGATGGCAACAGATAATTAAAACATTTCAACAGCATCCCTTGTAGCCTAAGCAGCAATCTTCCTTTGGGAGTTCTGAACTCAGCTGGCCCATTAATCTCTGAGGACTGATCATTAGAAGAGGTCTTCTGTTATGACAGGAGGAAAGCTGGGTCCTGACCTCAAGCAGAAAACGGCAATATCATAGCAACCACTTATCAGTCATCCAATCTTGCTCTCTCTCAATGAAATTCTCATAATTCAATGCATAGTTCTCTAGGGATAGTCTGGATGGCTGTACTCTTTTCTCTGCACAGAGTGATTTGCCAAGAGAACTGATGTTTACTCTCTAATAAAAGTAGTTATTAGGTCAAGTTCCCTGTTTTTCCTCTAAATCTGTTTCTTAAGCATTCGAGACAGACTCACTTGAAACATATTAGGGTATTCCCTGACCTCTTACACTTTACAAACCTACCTTCACTCCTCATTCTGTATCCAAATCAATGGCTATTGCCTAGGTGTTGTATTTTAATGCACACTTTCAAAGCCAAAGAAATTTTACTGTTTAGGGTGGATATCTTCCTGTCTTTTTGAACTATAAATTGATTTTAGCCAGTTCTCAGAATTTAAAGATCACAAAAAATAAAACTAACATTTTCCTTGCTCTGTCTTGCAATGGATATGTACATTGTATTAGTTTATCTGAGGCACAACGTCAGCTATTAACTGTACTGTAACTTGGTGAAGCTGTAAAAGCAGTTGAGCAAAAAACTATAAATCACTATGCATATAAATAAAATAACATTTCTGTCACTGCCTAACATTCCACCTTGCCATTAATTGCATAATGGGATATATGTTATATACTGCAAAGGTCATTTCAGTGCTGCTGAATAAAACAAATATTCTACAGCTATTTATACCTTAAATCAAAACAAATCTTTAGCTCTCCTCTCAGTCTTAGAAACAATTTTCATTTTTTCTGGGCTTCAGGAACTGTAACTACATTACTTTCTATCTTTCTTGCCTTATGTAAGATGTCTGTATGTTCCTAAGCCAAGGGCAAGACTAGCCTTTAAAACAGTCATGTTCCTCAAGATTAAATGGGAGTAGTCCTTCATTTTTGTATTTAGAAATGAAAGAGATTTCCACAGCTTTATGTGTCCTAATTTATAACTAAAATGATTGGTTTAACTCCCTTACACATGTGCTTTGCTAGTTCAAGCAGAAGTATTGTACAGCATTGATGATTAAAAGATATCAGACAAAAAGGAATGAATTTTCAATTAACTTTACATACAGTTACGGATTAAGAATATTGTGAAATCCTCCCTGTTAAAATAATAGCTTCTCTCTCTTGTAATTTACGCTGTCATTCTTCAAACAAAACAGAACAAATCCTCTTCAGCTTGCTGCAGTGCTTATGAAAGTACTGAGATTACATATGCCCCTTCTTCCCAACTCTAACTTCAATGTAAAAATGTTCATTAATTCCTATTTTGTACTTTCATTAGCTGTTTCGGACATGAAGTTATACTCAATTGTTACTATTTAAGGATTAATGGATAAGTATGCTTTCACATAGAAATCACAAAAATTACCCAACTGCCTTTTTAGTCTACAGAGGAGAAAAAAGTACACCAGAAATTTTTTTCCTAAGTCCCTGTGACAAAGAAGACGCAATTAGAAGCCCTTCAGTTTTGATTTCTAATCAGCAAAATACATTTGCTCAGCGTCGATATGTGATAGGTATAAATCTTTTGATGTACTTGGCATACTGCAAACTCCATATTTTCCACAGACAATTTTCTAAGCTCACCTTGGCTGCTCTGCCAATAGTGTAGGGCTCACTTCTTTGCTCACATGCTTTACCTGGTTGATTTCGGTAGTCTGTCAATCAGACTTGATGGCAATAATTTTTGAGGTCCATCAGATTAGTCTTGAGGAACAAAAATTCAAGTATCAAAAACCCTTGTGGAAATTCATACATAAATGATAAGTTTTAAAAATGCATTCTCATATGTAATGTTTTCAGGTAAGCAAAAAAAAAGAAAACAGTATTTCTCTCCCTCCAAAATCCGTACAGCAGATGACCTATATATTTTTTTAATTTACTAGAAGCATCAACAGTCTCTTAACTTTGCTGTCAGTGCAATAAGAAGGAAAGTCTCAGGAATATAAACCCACATTTCACACATTTGTTTAAAACATCTATTAGCTTTTTGTTGAGGAACCACGCCCGCTATATCAAACCTTGCCGTATCATAGGCTGTGTTCTCAGCATAAAGAAAATGAATATATCTGGACGGGGATGCTGGTGATGTGACTGCAGGTTTCAATATTAGGTCTCATCAGATGCTACCAGTATTCTTCTAGGCTGTTTCATCACTCACAGTCTCAGAGATACCCATCTGTTTGAACTTTTTTTTTTTTTTTTTATCAGGTTAGAGATGTAGTTGTCATCACTAAAGATTTATTTTTTTTCCTATTAGTAAATCAGCAACTTTACTGGACAAAGCAGTGCCACATTCATCACCGATAAAAGATTGCTCAGAGCCAGCTTGTTCTGCCTCTTCTGGTTTAAAGAGCCAAAGATTAGGGGAGAGAATTACTTTATGATCTCTGTAAGTGAGTTCTCTTCTTTCCATTCTGAGCACCACTGCAGACACTCCTGCCACAGCAGTTAATTTGCAGTATTGTAGACATTTGCCACTTGATATAGTTTTGGATTTGCCAGCTATTTGTTATGTTGATGTCCTCTATTTTACACTATTCCAGTACCTGCAGTGTGCTTCTGAATTCACTTTGATTTTACATCTGGGAAACCTCTCTGACCTTCTAATTTGCACCACTGTCAGATCAACACCCAGATGTGAATTTAAAAGCTGAATACAGTATTTGAATTAAAGGGATTCATTTGAACACACAGTGCTCCAGAAGAGCACTAGCACATAAGAACCTATTATTCTTAACTTTCAGCTTTGAAATCATTGTTGTCATTGTTAACAGTCATCAGTAATCACTGTCCATGAAAAATAAATAGCTCCTTGAAAACAAGACAATAAGAGTTTTGATTGCCAACACAAGGCTCCAGCTCTGGGGCTAACTGCAAGAGTAGGGACTTCTTGCTGCCTAGAACTAATTAAATGATTTTACTTCAAGAAGTGACTAAAGAACGTAGTGGAATCCTTTCATCAAACAGAATTGATGAATTTGCATTAAAAAGATCAAGGCTCAAATTCCAGTCTTACTTACAAGAGTGTAAATCAGAAATGATTCCATTAAATGAAGAGCATTGCCCTAACAGCATAAGCCTAGGGAGGATGAAAAGCGTGTAAATGTAGGAACATCACACACAGAACTTCCAGCTACAAAGTCTGTATGTACTGGCAAATATAGATACAACACTCACACACTTTACAGCATTCAGAGGATGCTGTACAATGAGAAAGCAATTGGTCCTGACTGTTTACGTGACACTTGGTTGAAGGCAGCAATATTTCAGTGCTGCAGTCATCAGCTGTGAAGTTGTCTGAGAACCTTGCAAAAAAGATATAATAGAAATACAAAATAAATAGAAAATTAAATACTGCTTCTATCTGGCTCTGTATGGTAACAGAGCTCAGCTGCCTATTCTTGTGGGCTCTGAAACTGGGAAGCATAACCTACATCTGACTCTGACCATTGGAACCCTGGACACAGAATTCACAGAGGTTAGAAATGATACACAAAGACATTCCGTACAAATTTAGGTTCATGAAAAACACTGCAAGTATTTCTGCAAGTCATATACCAGTAATTATCAAGAGGGTGAGCCGGACATTTTGAACATAAGCTGTGACCCTTTTCGTCCCTCTGAGTACGCAACTGCTTCTGAAAGGCCACTTCTGTACTTATCAGAGTCGAAAGAGAACCTGAGTGTCTTTTAGATGGCTTTTTCCTCCTTAGGAATATCTAATACAACATCATGGATTTTCAGAAAAAAATACAAGAGCCTCCACAGTATATGCTATGACCCACACATAATAACTAAAGTAGGCACAGTGGGGAATAATATGTTTAGATAGTTTAAAATACAAACAGTTTCCAGCTTCACTGATCCTTATACTCTGTCAATCCAGAATTCGTTAAGTGCTTCCAATCCAGATGATATATTCAGGAAATGATGTAGCTCAGCAATAGAAGCCCAATGAAGCCCAAGCCATAAAACCACTAGGAAAGAGGACTAAGCTATATGCCATGAATAATATTTACATTCAATCAGAGCATCAAGCACAGATTAAATTTCTCTCCTACCAAGAATGTGCCATCTTTTGCTTAAGCAATCCCCATGCCATCATGACTTTTAAGTGATAATAACAACTCAGTCTCCAAGAAATAATCTATGGAGGATAGAGGCCCTATAGGAGTCTTTGTTGATGTTGTTTTCTTTTATTTTGGCTTTTTTTTTTTTTTTTTTTTTATGTTAGCAGAATAGAGAGCAAGATTATCTCCTTAAAATTTCCAATCCTATTTAATCATCTGGCTATAATAGCTCTAGCTCTTAACGTGAGCCAACCCTGTTTCCACAAATTTGAT